TGCTCAAATGTACCCTTGAATTATTAGAGTATCAATGAATGACCTTTCTTCAATTACCTTTATTTCTCAACCTATCTGCTGACATTAAGAATCCCTTTTATTTTGAGAAAGAGTATTGCTAAGTTGAATCCCACGCTAAACTTCTTCAAGGACCAAAACTAAAACTAGTTCCATTTGGCATTCTCTTCGACACATGATTTTCCTCTTTAACTCTATTTACATTGCAATTGTCCTTTATGCTTGTAATGTGCTTCCATGCCCTAAACGATCTATGCCCTTTTGGATCCCCAAACCTCTCACATCAAGCTCTCCCCCCTTTGAGCTTCAGCATCTTTTTACCTGCCCTGCCACTGTTTTGATATATTCTTCTCTCCTTTTTCTCCTGGCTCCCCAAACCAGGATGGCGAGACCTCCTTACATCTCTAACATCACCATTTTCAAGTTTTAAAACCAGGCACCTAGGGCTGGGGATATGGCTCAGTTGGTAGAGTGCTTGCTTGCCTCACATGCACAAGGCCCTGGGTTCAATCCCCAGCAAACACACACACAAAAAAAACAGGCACCTTGACTTTTCCTTCTTACGTTTAGGGGTCAGGCTCTTCCAAATACCCATCTTCAGTGCCATAACCCTATCGCCACTCTAGTTCAGACCCCAATTACTCTCCTGGTAAACCACAATAACTTAACCAACCAAATATTCACTAAGTATGGGAAATTTATTGCCAGTACTGTGTATGTAATAGTATGTATTCAAACAGTATGTACCTGTAAACTTATATATATTATTTATATATTCATTTATCCCCATCCCCACCCCCACCCCGTGGTACTAGGGATTGAACCAGAGGTGTTCTACCACTGAGCTATATCCTTAGACCTTTTTATTTTTTAAATTATTATTTTTTGTGGTGCTGGGGATTGAACCCAGGGCCTTGTACATGCGAGGCAAGCACTCTACCAACTGAGCTATATCTCCAGCTCTTAGCCTTTTTTATTTTGAGAAAGGGTATTGCTAAGTTGAAGTTGCCAAGGCTGGTCTCAAATTTGCAATCCTCCTGCCTCAGCCTCCCAAGTCTCTGGAGCTATGGTTTTTTTTCCTTCCCTTTTTAATGTGCATTAGGAAAAGACATTAGCACATTAAACCTTTTAATTTCAAAACAATTGTGTAGAGTAAGAATGCACCAAACTTAAAAACAAGAGTAGATTTGAATAATAAAGTAGGCAACATGCAAATATGGCAAATGTCATAAAGATGGTATGCAAATGACTGAGAATTGAAAGTCATCATTTTTATTTTTTGGGGGGGCAGGTATTAGGGATTGAACTCAGAGGCACTCAACCACTGAGCCACATCCCCAGCCCTATTCTATATTTTACTTAGAGACAAGGTCTCACTGAGGTGCTTAGAGCCTTGCTTTCTGCTTGAAGCTGGCTTTGAACTCATGATCCTCCTGTCTCAGCCTCCTGAGCTGCTGGGATTATAGGCATGTGCCACCTACCCAGCAAAAATCCAATCTTTTGGAACCCAGTGAAAATGAAGAGGCATTTTTTTTTTAAGTTGTCAGTGGATAGTGACCTATCTATATGAGGTGCTGAGAAGCAAACCCAGTGCTCACACATTGGCAAGCACTCTACCAATGAGCTACAGCCTCAGCCCCCAAGAGGTAAGTTTGAACATGTTTATTCAGTATCAACTGTGTGCCTTCTATCATGAGTCTTTACTAACCGAATCATTCCCACTGGAATCAATCTCTTCCCACCTCTGAACACCCGCAGACTTTATTATCTATGGCACTCATTACAAAGGAGCTCCATCTTTATGCGTGTTTTCTCTTTCTATTACTAGAGTTCAAACAACCTGAGACTGGGGATGGTGACTCCATCTTTGTGTCCTCACCCTAACCCTATATCTAGAAAATACCAATGTGTCTGCTGGATAAATCAATCTAGTGGCAGAAGAAATGGTATTGACAGAAAGAAAACTAAATATGACATGAAACTTGAAGTTTTAAAACTAGAGAAAACTTTTCCACCTGGCCGTATCTACTTAAAATAAAAACAAGTTTCAAATATCTATTCTGTTAAGAAACGTCAAGATTACATGAACAATACTTAAATGCTTGATTAGTACAACTGGTAGCTACACTATTCAGACTGAATTATCTCTGCTGTGTAAATTGTTAACTGAAATGTTGATATTTAATTTCTATGATATGAACCAGGAACAATTTTTTGAGATTTATGTATATAATAAATCATTACCCTCACATGCACATTATTTGAAATATGAATAATTGTTTGTGTTAGTCTTTCCAATAATAATTTACCATTGTCTTATATCCCACTAGCACATGCTAGCAGGCCTCAAATATGTAAGAAAGGTTTAAAGAAAATGCAAAGCTGTTGAGAATTCAATCCATTGTGTGTTCTTCTGAGTAGGGATGAAACAATTAGTCAATTTTAGTAGTAACGTACACAGATCCACTGGGTGTCTGAGGATGCATTCTGAACCACTGAGAAAAGGATAAAGCATGTGTGATGGTCTTTCAACCTTACTGTGTCAAAGGAGGAGAACCTAAAGAGGGAATGGAAACAGTCTAAGCAGATGATTTAAGAGCTTGGAAGTGAAGGATTCAGATGGTCTCATTTAGCTCAAGAACACTAGAATTCCTAACCCAGGGAACCTCTATTAGCCTCCCACTCTGACAGACTCCAATCAGGCAGGCTTAAATGTCAGGAAAAAATAGATACAAAAGTGGCTTTGATTCTACTGAGTCAACGGAGGGGGAGCCTATGATAGCTGTTCTCCACATCACACCCCCAACGTTTTGCAGCAGCTTTGTCAATGACACAAATGCAGGGTGGCATGAGGCTTTCAGCAGCTTAGCATTTTAATTTGAGGTGGGGGTAGAATAGAGTACATAAGTTGCTTTGTGTCCCCTGCACCCTGATGCCTTGGGGACCAGCCAGGCTGACCAATAGAATCCAGAGCGAGAGTGGGTGCTGGGTTCCCCAGGAAGGGGCAGATCCAGAACAGAGCAGAAACGATGGTAGTCATCTGTATAAAAAGTAAGGGTACTCTAGGTGAGAAGGACGGGCATCAATCTAGGTAACAATCTGGGAGAAAGGAAGAGGAAATAAAGAGGCAGCAGCAGGAAATGATAAAACAGAGCCAGGCACTACAGCCTGTGAATTTGGCTTCTTTTCAGGGTTAATAGGAAGAAGAGGTAGATTAGCATCAAGGATCAGGGATCCACAGCAAACAGATGAAGTCCCCAACAACTCTTTTTGGTGCTGTTTACTGCTTGGCTTGTTTCTGGGACTCAGCTAGATTCTTAGGTGAATGCTCTTTCTCATCTCAGATGTTTACCCTGAACTTTGGCATTAGGGCGCACATCAAGAGGCTTGTTCTCTAGGCCCTATTTCCTTAATTGTACAGATTCTACCTTTAGTAGAACCCCTTCTGAGAGGACAACATTTGAAAAACAATTAAGAAAAATCAGTATAAAATAGACTAAGAATAAAAAATATCAGTGTTTTACCACCGATCCAAGATTAAATGCCTCCCCAGCTTTTGCCAAACAAAGTAACCAGCACCAATGTTTCAAAAGTAAAGGTAGAGAGTCTAGTTTCCAAAGGACAAAACGAAAGCACGCTATGCAAAGCCTGTACCCCCACCCACCCATGAGCCAAGATCCCAGCCCCACTCTGCTGTCAGATAGTTACATAGAAGTCATGTCATTGAGGGCGTGGTCCAGCTCCTCGCTAATGGCCTTGTACTTCAGTTTCTGGGCATAGAGCTCATCTGGACAGGCACAGGAACCACAGGGAGGAATGAGGGGACAGAGTAAAAGATATCAGAAGCAGATGAAGAGAGGGAATCATTAGAAATTAGGAAAAGTGCGACCAATGGGTCTAACACCAGAAAACGTATATGCTGGCAGCCACGACTGGCTATTCTTAGATCCACTGTTTTCTAGGACCAAATGCACTTCTTGATGCCTCTGTTCAGTTGTAGCAAGAATTCAGAACCTGGGCATAGTTCTGTTACCAAAGGCACTCAAGAGGATACCACTCCCACCCACTAGCCCAATTCCTACCAGTGATAATACTGAATTCAATAAACAGAAAAGGGAGAATGCACACATCCACAGTGACATTTCTTTGCCTACCAGCTGTGAACACTATTCATGGCCCCCTCTGCTCTACAAGTTGCCTCTTCAAACTATTTTAAAGAACATCCTAGGACAAAGAGCATACCAAGGGAGAACATCTCAGAGTTCTCAAAGCAAAAGACATTTTCCATTGTCATGGTGGATGCAGTTGTCAAACTCCAGGGACAGGAAGTATGTAGAAAGCCCCTGGTCAGTTCTGAGACAAGGTTATTTTACAGCTTCATCTCTTGGAGAGGTACCTACAACTTGATGGTGAACGGTACTGCTGAAAGTGGCCAGGGGGTGATATGCATCCTTGCTGCCTTTTGAAATCATGACTTCCATTTCAACTTGCCGACTAAGGATTTAGGATTACTCAATGAGAAGTAAATGCAGATATTACCAATCTCCTCAAAGGGAAGGAGGCAAAGTCCAAAATATTAGGCATTCTTGTTTCATTACTACAGACTGAACCCAGAGGTGCTCTACTGCCACTGAGCCACATCCCTGGCCCTTTCTTTTTATTTAATTTTGAGACAGAGTCTCACTTAGGTGCCCAGGCTGGCCTTGAACTTGCAATCCTCCTGCCTCAGCCTCCCAAATTGCTGGGATTATAGGTGTGTGCCACAGCACTTGGCTAGGTAGTCTTATTAAAGGGAAAGATTACGTATAAAAATCCAATTCTAGGGTTTGATGCACTTCACCTGACTGTGGACAGGATGGGGCACATCATATGTGCCATGTCAGTACCAATTCCCCTTGGTATACAAGAAAAAAGGTACATGGTCAATGGGCAAAATCCTCCTCTATATGTCTTTATTTTAATCCCTCCCCCAGGCTCCATACCTTCCAAATCATCAATTGTCTTTTCCAGTTTGGCTACCGATCTCTCAGCAAACTCAGCGCGGGTCTCTGCCTAGGGAAAACAAAAAACCAACCAGAATGTGAGATGACAAGTCAAAGAGAAGGATATCTATTTCTTCCATTTCCTACCTCCATACTGGATTTGCAGAATCTAAACCAGCCAATCTAAGTCTACATTGATTTCTTAGAAAACTTATTATTTAGCATATATTATTATATAATTATTATATATTATATAATTATATTATTATATAATTTATTATATATTAATTTCTTATATATTTCATTAATCCCTCAACTCACCTCCTTGAGTTTATCAGTGAGAATCTTTATTTCTTCCTCATATTTGTCTTCTTTTTGAGAGTACTGTAAAGAAGTAGAATAAAAGTTTCAGAGTAGAAATTAGTCCTACAGACAATACCCGCCCCCATGACATTTACTCCTATTATATTCTTTCTCTCTTTTTTTTTGGTTTTTCTGCAGTGCTAGGGATTTAACACAGTGCCTTGTGCATGCCACGTAAGAACCCTACCACTGAACCACATCCCCAGGCCCCTACATTTATTCTTATATTGAATATCCTCTTGTATTTAATATGCTGAATGACCTAAGAGTTACAAGCAAGGCCCAATTTTAGACAACCAGTTCTTAAAGTCCATCTATTTCTTTATAGCCATGATACCCTGAGAGTAGACCAGGACCTTTATTTTTAAACCAGAGTTAAGCTTTGATCTTACTCATATCAATGCAAAGTTTTTCCTTCCTACTGATGAATGAGCAGGAATAAAGACACCCTAAGTCAACACGACTAAAATACTTCCCCATGAAAATAAAGAGAAATCTGTCTTGATTGCTCATTAATCTTAGAACTGATTCTGTTGCCCTATCGATTTACAAGAAAGTCTATTAGGGCCCCTGATCATGCCTCTCAGCAAAGCAGCACCAGCCTGAGAGCACAAGACTCTAGGTGCCCAAGATCATGACGTTATTTTAACTAAAGCAATCAAAGTGCACAGGAGATTGCATTAAACCCAGGATCTGGATGGACAGTCATGGGGAGGAAGAGGACATTTCTCACTGGATTATAAGAAATGGGTATCTCCAGTCTTTCATCAAGGGCAGGGCTGGGCCCAGGCCCCAAAGCCTGTCACCTTCACAAACCAGCCCCTACCTTCTCCGCCTGAGCCTCAAGAGACTTGAGGTTGTTGGTGACATTCTTCAGCTCCTCCTCCAGCTCAGAACACTTACTGTGAACATTTTAAATACCACAGGAGAGGAAAGGGGAAGAGGAAGAGAATAAAAAAAAAAGGGAGAGAGACACACAGACGTGAATTGAACCTATCATGTAGAGAGTTGGAAGGCATACTGGGGAAGAGAAGTTCCTTGGTAATCTGAGCAAGCATTAACCCTCCTCCCTCTACCATGGAACACATCAGGAGCAGCTGGACCCTCCTGCTCAGAATGTCTGTACACTAATAAAGAAAGAACACTTGATAGAAACCACTATCAGGAACGAGTCACAACTATCTGGGGTAGAGGTGGGAATGGATGCCCAACCCCAACAGTCCCCCAAATCACCCCAAGGAAGGAGAGACCCTGTTGAGAGGCAGTGAAATAACTGGGAAAGAAAGGATGAAAGATGCCAAATAAGTGGAAAGTATGGAGCATTCCATGAAGAGATGAGAAAGCACTCAACAAGTCAACCGGTGGAGGGGAGGAAGCTGCAAAACAAAACAAAACCAAACAAAACCACACCATACAAGGAACCTCTCTGTGAGTTTAATGGTTAGTACCTTTTCTTCAGCAGCATTCAGACACTTCAGGTTCTGGTCCATCAGTCTGATCTGCTCATCCATCTCTCGGCAACGGCTGTTAGTGATAGTCACGGGGATGGCACAAGCCAGGTTGTGGGGAGGGAGAAAGGTAAAAAAGGAACACAGCAAAAAAACAAGCAGCAAAATGAAAAAAAAAAAAAAAATCACAAAAACATGAAAAAAACACCACCATGGTCATGATATGTCATGTCTGGGAGAAGGGAATGCAAGGGAAGCACAAATATACATGCATCAGCACTGACTTTGTTATACAAGGCCAGGAAGGTACCGATGGGGAGAAGGTAATATCTGCCTCTGCCCGAAAGTTGCCCAGCAGATTGGCAAAGTGGTCAAAACAGAGACCAGCTCTTACTTCAACGCTTCAAGGAGAAAGACCTCCCAGGTGAAAGGACCCACAGTTATATAAAGGACCCACAGCACCAGTTAACTGTTCACCATTATTAGTCTTTATATTCCCTCAATTTGTAAATCTTCCCAAGAAGAAATCAGCAAGCCTCATTTGTCACCTGGTAGGTGGTCAAGACAGTGAGGAAGCCCAAGAGTCTAAAAGCACTTATAGAAGACTTCTACCCTGTAGGCCCTGTTTAACAAGGTTGAAAGAATGCTCGTTTATACGTATCAGTGTCCAAGCCAAAAGGGAAGGGATGGAACAGTACAACAAGATCTGGGGAGTGAGATACTCACGACTCTGCCAGCTCAGCTCGTTCCTCTGTGCGTTCCAAGTCTCCTTCAATAATCACTAACTTACGAGCCACCTATAAGAACAGATTCAGGTACTGCTCAAGAAAGCAAAGAAGGAAGCAGTTCCCTCCTGATTCTCTGCAGAAGCCTGATGTCACTGAATCAAGGAGGACAGACCTACCTCTTCATACTTCCTATCTGCTTCTTCTGCAATGTGCTTAGCTTCTTTGAGTTGGATTTCCTGGAGTTCCATCTTTTCTTCATCTTTTAGGGCCCGGTTTTCAATAACCTTCATACCTCTGCCAGAAAAAGGATGAACGCAGCACTGACACTCCATCCCAAGGGACTCACAGAATGGACTCAAAATTGCACCTTTTAAATCGCATTCCTCTCGGTCATTCAAATAGAAATTCTGTAGCACAACTTGCACACCTGAATTTGCTTCCTTCTTTCATTCTTTCTTTCTCTCTCTCCTTTCCCATTTCTTATAAAAATAATAGACACTTGGTAAGAAATTAAATACTTAAGTGTATAGGCTAAGGGCATAAAGTCAAAACTGTTTCCCTTCTCATTTCTAGTCGTGCTCAGAGGTAAGCCCTTCCTCAATCCGTTTCACATAGATACATGCAAAAAACTCTACCCCAACTTCCCCAAAAGAATCACATACTACACTATCCTTTCCACACTTCCCACCATATGGACACTAGTACCCATATAGCTGTCTTGTTCCTTTGCACAGCTACACAGTGTTAGTTTTCCTAAAAGGGCACTTTTAATTCTGAAAAGTCTTAGTTCAATACCATGCAAGTTGTTATGTACCCTCTATTGTGATTTGGCTCTTGACCTTAGTCACACATTAAAATTACTGAGGCATTTTTAAAACAGCAGTGCCTGCACCTCTCTTGCAATTAATACCAACTGAAACGGGGTGGGATCCAAGCATCCCCTTCTATGCACCCCCTCGATTCTAATAGTACAGCCAGGATGAGAAGCTTTAGTGGATTGCTAGGTTCTGCCTCTAGAGTTTTTCATTTAGTAACTCAGGGAGAAACTGAGAATTTTAATTTCTACCAAGTGCCTAGATGTTGTTCATGCTGATGGTCTGAGACTTGACTTTGAGAGCCTATGTTAAAGGGGACTAATCTCACAAATGGAAGTGTATGATCCACCAAGTGGAAGCCACATGGTTACTCCCTTTTAAGGAGTGTTAGGTCAGTATATAGGGGGGAAAATAAATAAATAAATAAATAACATTACAAATGGGTCAGAGGTCTAGGTAACCCTTACTGTATAAAAAGAAAAAACATTCACAAAAACATGAGAAAACACCACCATGGTCATGATATGTCATCTCTGGGAGAAGGGAATGCAAGGGAAGCACAAATATATATGCATCAGCACTGACTTGTATGTGGAAATTTTTGTACCAGTTCTGGTACAAAAAAACAGAAAGAATATGCAAAACAGAAGGAAAGAAGATTATAATATAGAGGTTACCTTTTTTTAATATTTATTTTTTAGTTGATGTTGGACAAAATACCTTTATTTTATTTATTTATTTTTATATGGTGCTGATGATCGAACCCAGGGCCTCGCACGTGCTAGGCAAGCGCTGTACCGCTGAGCCACAACCCCAGCCCTAGAGGTTAGCGTTTTTAAAAAGAGGTCTGGCTTGAAGTGATACCACACACCTGCAATCCCAGCAACTCAGGGCTGAGGCAGAAGGATTGCAAGTTTGAGGCCATCCTCAGCAATTTAGCGAGGTCCTCAGCAACTTAGCAAGACCCCACCTCAAAATAAAAAGAACTAAACATGTGATTCAGTGATTAAGCACCCCTGTGCTAGATCCCTAATACAAAAAAAAAAAAAAAAAAAAGCAGTGGTAGAGCCTGTGTGAGGCCCTGGGTTCAATCCTTAGCACCACAAAAAAACAAAATACAAGTCTCTAGGAAAATTCTGTTCAGAGTCATTATGTACTTGTCTGTTTTTTGCTCTGTTTTTGTTTTTGTTTTGTCAAGGCCTTGTGCATGCAGGGCAAGTGCTCCGTCCCTGAGCTACATCGCCAGCCTATGAAGTGCGTCTGAAATCCATATTCTCTCAGACTCCCCCACACACCTCTCACTCTCATCAGCAGCTTTTTCTGCTTCCTCCAGCTTTTGCAGGGCAGTAGCAAGGCGCTCCTGAGCACGGTCCAGCTCCTCTTCAACCAGTTGGATCCTTCGGTTCAAGGAGGCTACCTCAGCCTCAGCCTGCATTTGAATGAAAGAATGGAAAAGTTAAGCAATAAATTAATGGATGAAAAGAACAATGAAAAGAACTAAGACAGTAAGATTGGGGCTGACTACCATGAAGAGGCAAGATTCTAGGGTAGAACCTGTCTTAGCTCAGATGCTAAAAGATCTAACAGACAGGAGGAAGATATATATATGTATCTTCCTCCCTTTCCCACCAACGAACTCCCATATGTTCCACAGGGGGAGTGTTTAAAAACCTCAGTTCCTTGCCAGGCATGGGGGTGCGTGCCTATAATCCCAGCAACTTGGGAGACTAATGCAGGAGTATCATAAGTTCAAGGCCCACATGGGTAATTTATTAAGACCTTCAGTAACTTAATAAGACCCTGTCTCAAAATAAAATTTAAAAAAAAAAAAAACCCTCAGTTCCTTGCCCAGATCACTGACAGTACCCCATCTCCTCTTGGACTTAGTTCAAATTCCTAACACGTTGGGGTAAGAAAAGGTAGCCCGAAAAGGTTCTTTCTACCTGAGTTCTGACTGGGAGGTACATCTCACTCAGCAACTTTCTTGTAAATGTCTCATAAAATAGAAAATGAGCAAGGCTCTTAAAGAGAAAACCTTGGATTATCCATTATTTTATTGCTTAACTTGAGTTTTTAACCCTCTGATTTCCTTACCCTAAAATACCAGGAAGTAAACAAGCAAGAGAATGTTCACCAGACTAGCCTTCCAGTGGAAAGCAAAAGAATGGAACACTGGAATACCTTCCTCCATGCCTTCAACGTGCCTCCTCAACTCCTTGAGTTGCCAAGGAAGAGCTGTTTCTGGCTAAAAGTATCTGCTTTGGTGACATTACCAAAAACGAAACAATAACAACAAAAACCCACAAGTAAACATTCCACCACTCCTGCCTCCAAATTCCTGAATTCTTTCGATTTCTTTAATCATCCCCTTACCTTCATTTTCCAATACAGTTTATATCAACCCTGTAACTGACTTCCAAGCTTGAGTGAGTAAATGTAAGGTCTGGCTATGGAATGAGAAACAAGGAAGGAGGGAGGCTGCCTGCACGTGGACAGATTCTAAAGGTAGAAAAAGTCTCCTTCCTGTGATTGCTTTAAGTATGCAAGAATTTAATCTGCCCTGCAAACCACCCAGTTCAGATGCTTATCCAAGTGCCTGGTAAACATGATCTCTCCTCCACAGCTCAGACTGCCTGAATTCTATTACCCTGATTTCCTCCTAGTAGGCAGGGTGGCAGCAGCTTAGAAATCTGGGCCACCAGTCCTATGGGGAAGGATATAGCCCAAAAGACTCCTGGTAGCAACCAGGACTGGTACAAAAATTTCCACATACAAACATAGGAGGTTCAAGGGCCAGGGAAGGGGGGGGGGGGCAGGGAATTGGGGCAAAAATCTAACCACCAGACTACAGGGAAAAAAAAAATTGACAAGTCTACATAAGCTGAAACTACTAAGAAAACATTTGTGTCTCTAACCATACTATTCCAGGAAAACATATGTCCCCTAGGACAATACAGATTTCTCTTCCCAGACCAACAAGGCCAATCAGTCAAGATACAGGCTATCAGGCAGGAACTGAGAGATACTGCAGTACAATACAATTATTTACCCCCTTTCAGACACCTAAAATGAAAACACAAAATATGGAACTAGACTTGGGAGGAAGCTCATAAAATGCAAGTCCCCACCAGCTCAGTAGTTACCCAAATTGGAGTAGAAGATAACAAGCTATGGGGGCAGGGTTGTAGTTTCCATGACAACAAGCTGGCTCAGGCAGTTTCTCCCACAAATCAGCATTTACAATAGAATTCTTCATAAGGCTGAAAAGGGAGGAGAAAACGCCTCTTGGTTCCCTTATAAGAGCATGCGCACACAAGACTATCAAAAGCAGAACCCAAGATGGGAGTCCCTATGAAGTCTTCAGAGATCCCAAAGGTTGGGGCTCCAGGTCATCACTGTTTTTCCCCCTTCGCCCATAGAGAATCAGCAGAATTGAGATCTGATACTCTTTTTAAAGAAATAAGGAAGACAACCTGACTTTCTTTCCCTTCAAGCCAGAGCCTATGCACAAGGCCTCTCCCTTTCAGGTCAACAATAAAGAAAGTTCTACCTTTTGCAAACCACACTGGCCCTGGGAAACATTAAATTTTGTGTGTTTCTAGTAAGCCTAGGTTTTAGCATGCTCACCCAGATATGGTCTTAGCCTTTCAGTCTACCCCCCCTCTGGCCCAGCTTGGAAGATATAGTCTGAGGTCCTTCCCTTCAAGTAATAAAAGGATGCTTCAGGGCCCAGGAGGCAAAGATCTCAGGGGTGGTGGTGGAAGTGGAACCCAACAGGAATTTGGTCACATTAGAAGATGGCTGACAGCAACTCCAGCTGTGCCAAAAGTTTGGTTTAAATGCTACCATCCTCCACTCCAGAGAAAGTCCCAAAGTAAACCACACCCCTAAAGGCAAGAAACTGACAGTGCACTGGTTCTCAGAGGCAGAACAGGGCCAAGGACAGAAGGGGATTTGCCTAAATCTGGCACTCTGCCACACTGGAGTTTCTTTTTAGATAAAAGCCACAGATGGAATTAAAAGAAAAAGAGAGTACTAGGAAAGTTAAGCTTGAGCCCTGTGCCTGTAAGGGACTGCTGGAACTCATTGTGTTCACAAAAAGATCTACCAGGGAGCTAGATACCATGTCCTTGGGGGAATTTAAATTTATCAAGGGGGAGGGAGGCATGTTGGGAGCAAGGGAATAGAACTGTTTGCTGGTCCAAAAGTAAACAAAGGTGGAGCCTAAATAGAGGCACTCAGAGCAAAGGGCTATTTGCTTCTCCCCTATGAGTGTGCTCTGGTATGGGGGCAGAGAATGGTAAGCAGCAGGAAAGCAAATCTAAACCAAAGGAAGGTGATACCCACCAGACCCCACAAACGGAGAGAATCACTACAAACATTCTAACCCTCTCCAGAGACTAGGAATTGGGGATTAAAGCCAGAATCAAAACAGCTGTTCAAAAGCTCACTCACTCCCCTCAACAAAATTCCTAAAATTTCAGGCCAGGACAAAAAGGAGAGGGGGGCTATTTTAAAAAGAGGGCTAGGACTGTAGCTCAGTGTAGAGTTCATTCTCCTAGCCCCAGCCATTTGGGAGGCTGAGGCAGGAAGATCACTTGAGCTCATGAGTTCAGAGTTCAAGAAAAATCTAAAAGACCCCCTGTGGAAAGGAGGAAAAGGTTACAATGTTACATATGTATCATTTTTACCACACAAATCAGGTTAAGAAGACCTACATTTAAATTTTATATTGCCAGAAATACAAAGGAAACTCAAAACTAAAAGTGGATTTGAGAAGGTGCTACATTTAAAAAGGTCCATCTCCAGTTTGAGACCAGAAAAGACTGATCTTTTCAGAACAACTCCAGTGTCTCAGCTTTGATCTCATCCAACTTCACAACATGGGCTGCTGGGTATTCATACAAAGTAACTAAAAAAATAATTGACAGTCCCACCAACAGCCTGAGATATCATCAGGGAGTGCTGAGCTTCCAGCTCTAGAGGGAGGAACCGGCAAAACCCACATTCCAGAATGCCCTTAGGAGAATAACAGGGCTGGGAATCAAGCTTAGTGGTAAAGAGCTTGCCTAGCACACAGGAGGCCTTGGATTCAATTCCCAGCATGGGATGAAAAAACAAGTAGAATAACAGGTGGTTCAGGCATCCCTTTCCCTTCCTACCATCATTTTACCTCAGGAGAGTTTAAAGTTCACTAGAGCAGAAAGCCAAAAGATTATGTTCCCTCAGGCTAAGGAAGAGTAGATACTGGTTTCATCAATATTTAACTATCACCCTACTTCCCCACTTCTCCATTTTAAAAACTTCCTCACTAGACCTCAGCTCACTATGCAAATTTGGTAGGCTGAGTGAGGGAGTAAGCTACTTATGAAACTGCTCACTCTATGTTGCTTATCACCCCAGAATCACCAAGGAAAGGGGGAAAAAAGAGCCAAATTTTCCTGCAAGGAAATTACCAAATCTTGGGACACACAACATCATCTACCCAAAATTATTCTTAGAGTGCTCATATTTAAATGATGAGCCTAAGATGCTGCAGCTCAACATCCTCCATACTCTGTCTTCCCCTTTAAGGCTCTCTGGTCTCCAGAGCAAAAGAGATGAGAAAGTGTCATTTGTTTGAGTCACTCAGCCAGTCCATCTCACTTGAATTGAAAATTAGAAGGTACCGGTATACTGAACAGAGGAAAAATCCACCTAGAAAAAGGTAACTGAGGAAGACAACAAGCTGCAGCATCTCCATACTATTATAAAATATAAGTATCAACTTGGAGCACAGCTATAACTTCCCTTTCCCACCCCTTTCCAAATTTCACTTCTCCCCCCAAAAAACAAATTCTCAGTCACTCCCACTGGGCATGAAGAAAAAAAAAAGAACCTATCAAGAGGAAGAACAAAAGAATATCAAGAAACCACAAGAGTTCTTTCATCAGGTCTTCACATTATTAGCAACAGTTACTTTAGGCTCATCCTCTGAAATCAAAGATTCAAGAGATCAGCTTCACCTACTAGACTGCACCCTAGATCTTGGAAAATATTATGGCTTACTAAAACTAGTCAACCACTTCTAAAAGGAAATCTCAAGAATCACCATTCATTCCACCAGCACTTTATGTTCCAACTTCCAGCTGAACAAATATTGAACTTTAAAAAAAAAAAAAAAAAAGACTGTATGAACAATTAGGAAAGTAGCAACTATTCTGTTTGCATCCACCACATTGCCCAGCTCAATCAGAACTACCTTGAGATTGGCACGGACCTCTGATTCGCTGCCATACACTCCCTTATCAGTTCTTCTTGGAAGAAATGTTCTTAACTAGTTCAGCCTGCACTGATCAAACTTCAGCAGCGAAGGTCTCAATCTAGCAGACGTTCCTGCCTTTCAGGTCTTTATGGGTAGGGCCAGGGAAGTTGGCTGGACGCTACACT